CTCTTTACTATCACATTATAAAAATAAGGGCAGATATTTAACTAGACGTGTCAAACACCTTCCTATATGGAGTTCTTGGTGAAACAGTTTATATGCATTAACCCATTGGTTCATTGACAATTAGCTCCCATCACATGTGAGTTTACAAAAGGGCTATCTATGGTTTGAAGCACTCTCCATGGTAATGATTTACCACAATCTCCAATTTTTTTACGGGCCTTGGCAAAGTGATCCATTGTTGCTTATATCCAAACAAAATCAACACCACACTAATTTCCTTCTCTATTTGAATGATATTTTAATTACAGGTACGTGTGAATCTCTCCTAGTAAAACTCAAGCAATAACTTCATGCCAACTTTCAGATGAAAGATTTGGATCCCATATCGAGATATCTTGGCATCCAAATTACTCACGCTCCTTCATTCTTATTATTGAGGCAACAAAGGTACCTTCGTCAACCCTGGCATTCTCATTACATCATCATACCTTCACTTACAATCCTTCTCCGATTCCAACTGTGCAGCAAATTATACTAACCTCCAATCAGCTACAGGTTATTTTTTGTATTTGAGCAACACACTAATTTCATGGACTCGGTCATCAATAGAAGCTGAATATCAGGCACTTGCAAAGGATATAATAGAGGTAATATGGCTACAACTTTTCCCCAAGACTTCGGTATTTACATTTTAATAATCTCTCGGTTATGGCTATATCGAATAATCTGGTGTTTCATGCATGCAAAAAACACATTGAGATTGGTTATCATTTTATAAGTGATAATATCAACTCTGGTGAAATACAGATTCATCATATGCATGCTCAAAACAAACCAGTGGATACTCTTACGAAGCCTCTCCAGAAATCACAGTTAAACCGACTCAAATTCTAGCAGGGGGATGAAAACACCAATATGCCCACTGGACGTAATAACAAATTGGGTGATACTACTCCACTCAAATCATACCTACCTAGCTAGGTACCTTTCTACCATTTCTCTAAAGAATTCTACTTCACCTATAAGTAATCTACTGTCACATCTTTGTGATGGTAATGAGAGAAAGTAAGCCTTGGATGTACCTGATAATTAATATTTTACTTATTGTTTCCTTACTTTTCTACCTCAGTATTCAGAGAGTGATGATGGTCGAGGGCTAGTGTGCATTGCATTGAAACAATCAGGAAGGTACGAAAGAGACCTGCATGCAAATCCTATTTGTGAGATGAGAAACTCAATTATTACTTTGAGGTGGGATTATTACGTTTTTACTAGCAAATATATTAAAGTTATCTTTTATGTGTTATGTCTCTTACCCCACTTTAACTTCTCCGATTTCATGCACCAGATACTGTATTCTTTTTTTGTTGCTACTTAGTGTTTTTATTGATTCCATTTAGAATACTGTGCAACACACACACACACACACACACATATATATATATA